AAGTCACACGGGACACATCTGGCAGGGAGACACATCTAAGATATATGCACATATGATCAGAACAGCCATGTCTGCAAAGCAGGACCACCCACAGATGGGCTCCAACCAAAATTCCTCACTTTCCATCAGGGGTGCCAAGACACTTACCAAGAGGCTCTGAAGGGTGGAGTACCCCAATTCCAAGGTATAACTGGGGCAGGCCCCAGACCACTGCTGAGACAGCCAAGCTCCACACACCAGAGCGCTGCTCCACGCCACACTGATCTCCCTTGGCATCGGCCGCGGAGGCTCTGCCCTGCTAGATTGGGGACTTTGTCTGCCCTGCTGCCCGCCTGGCTCTGCAGACCCTTCCTTGCAAGATGCTAACGACTCCCTTGCCCACCATGCTGTCTGCTGGACCTGCAGGTCGAGACCCTGGGACCCAGGTTCATTATCCTCCATTGATTATTCTGTGTGTGCCCTTTATATTTCTCCTAGATTCTCAGAGTGTGAGTAGGATATTAATATATGTTGATGTTCTACTTTGAGTGGAACTGCATTCAATAAAAGCTGAGTGAATAGCATAGTTCCTGTGTGTGACTCTTGCCGATTCCTTGGTACCAGGTTGCTCAGTAAGAACCTAGCCAAGCAGTTCCCTGGACGACTTATAAGAAAAACTATATCATGAATATACACTCATGACAGATGAACAGTTGTCCCAGCAGGCTGATTCCAACCCCCATGCTGAATCCCAGAGCTGAATGTGGACTGTACTTTGGATAACCTTGTGTCTTCCAGCTCCAGTTGCCAGCACTGTTGCCTCTCTCCCCTGAAAAGTCCCTTCATCTTATAAAAATATGGGGCCCACTAAGTCCATAGACCAAGTGATTATCCCCATCAGCAAAATCTAAAGAGTTACTTCACAAACATGTTTTCACAGGCATCCAAAGACCCATGAGAGAAGAGTCCTTACTGTATCCTAGTCCAAAGTCTTTCAGAACCCAGAATACAACTTAAACAACAATAAAACAAATTAATATTGCAGAAGTAGAAGGCATAAGGAAATCTTTCAAAGTCAAAAGATCCAATGCAGCAAATACACTTACATCATTTGAGAAGTGAATTGATTTCCCCATTACATTTCTCTCAATCAGACTTGTTTCCCAATAAAATGTGTTTGGCTTCTTTCTTCTTAGAAAAATAAAGACTTTTAATTGTTTTCAGATATTCTGACTGCACAAAAACTAGATGGAGGACATTTTACTTATTGATAAAATGGCCCCTGCTCAGTTATCATACAGTAAATGTGATTTCTAAAACTGCTTTTAGCATATATATTTAGACTTGGTTTCCTGGAAATGAGACTAAAGTTTCTTGTTCTATTCATTAAATTAAAAACAGACATTCTTCTTATAAAAAAATTTGTTCCAGCAAAGATAGGCTTTGGGCAAATTTCTTCTAAATGTGTCTTGCCATCTCATCATTCTTGAATAAAACTCAGCAGTCCACAAAAGGGCAAAACAATAATTGATTATAACAAATCATATTTAAGAAAGCCCCTACCATTTTCATTTTTATTAATATTTAAATAAATATCAAGATTTCAACTGCTAAATATAGCACATACAATTTATTAAACAGAAAAAATGAAATTTACATAAAATTACCTGGTATTCTGGTACACAAACACAAACCCATATATTTCTAGTACTTAGGTAGTTATCACCAAACTTACAATATCACAAAAATTTTTCATCAGCCTAATCACATCTTAAATAATAAATAATAATTAAATAATAATAATAATTCAGGGTTTGTGTTTTTTCCCAGTCTTTTGAGCTTAATTTGCTCTATCTTAATTTACCCAAGAATATGTGAAAAATCTGTTACAGTATCTTTTAAGACAGAAGAAATGTTCAATTAACATTCAGTGAATGCCTATGTGTTAGAAACTGCTGGCACTTTCTTTCAGTTGCATAGTTAACACTGTTATCCAAAAAAATTAGTTTGCTTTGTCATGACCCTATTGAGTCATATATTCTTACTTGGAGGGATTTGGTTTTCATATTAAAAGAGAAGAAATCATGATGAAGCTTTCCCATTTAATGATCTTTAAAGTCTCCCAAATCCAAGTTGATGATTTTTAATTCCTTTAAATTTACTTTTCAATTACAGCTGGCATTCAATATATATTAATTTCAGGTGCACAACATAGTGATTGAATGGTTAATAACTTACAAAGTGATTAACTGATAAGCCTAGTACCCATTGGACACTATACACAGTCATAACATTACTGACTCTCTTCCCTAGGCTGTACTTTATATCCCATGACTATTTTTATAACTGGTAGTTTGTACTTCTTGATCCCTTTCACCTTTTTCACACATCACCCAACGCCCCCGTACCATCTGGCGATCATCAATTTGTTCTCTGTATCTATGAGCTTATGTCCATTTTGGTCATTTATTTTGTTTTTCAGATTCCACATAGAAGTCACATCATATGTTATTTGTCTTTCTCTGACTTATTTCACTTAGTGTAATACTCCCTAAGTCAATCTATGTCATCACAAATAGTAAGATTTCATTCTATTTTATAGCTAATATTCCTCTTCTTTATCCAGTCATCTATTGATGGGCACTTAGGCTGCTTCCATATCTTGACTATTGTAAATAACACTGCAATGAACATAGGGGTGCGTATATCTTTCTGAATTCGTGTTTAGGATTTCTTTGGATAACTACCCAGAAGTGGAATTGCTGAGTCATATGGCAGCTCTATTTTTAATTTGTTGAGGAACCTCTATACTATTTTCCATAGTGGCTGTACCAATTTACAAATCTACCAACAGTGCATGAGGGCTCCCTTTTCTCCATATCCTCACCAATGTCTGCAAATCAATTAGTATGGTATAACACATAAATAAAATGAAGGGTAAAAATCAAATAATCTCTCACTGGATACAGAAAAAGCATTTGACAAAATCCAACACTATCTATGATAAAAACTCTCAGCAAAATGGATAGATTGGAAACATCCTCAACATAATAAAGACCACCTATGACAAACCTACAGCCAGCATCACACTCAATGGCGAAAAGCTAAAAGCTTTTTCTTTAAGATCACGAACAAGACAAGGATGTCCACTTTCACCACTTTCATTCAACAAAGATTTAGAAGTTCTAGCCACAACAATCAGAAAGGAAATAAAAGGCATCCAAATTGGAAAGGAAGTAGTACAGCTGTCATTATTTGCAGGTGACATAATGCTGTATAGAGATAATCATAAAGATTCCACGAAAAAACTATTCAATTTGATAAATGGATTCAGAAAAGTAGAAGATACAAAATACTCAGAAATAAGTTGCATTTTTATTTGAAAGAGAAATTAAGAAAACAGTCTCATTATAATTGTATCAGAAAGATTAAAATACCTAGAAATAATTTTAACCAATGAGACAAAAGATCTGTTCTTGGAAAACTGTAAGACATTGAAGAAAGAAATTAAAAACACAAATAAAGGGAAGGATATACCATTCTCAGGGACAGGAAGCATTAACATCATTAAAATGCCCGTATTACTCAAAGCACTCTACAGGTTCAGTGCAATCCCTACCAAAGTAGCACCAGCATTTGTCACAGAACTAAATTAAGTTGATGTTTTCAGTCTTCTTCCACATGACTCTAACTCACCTTTTCAAGTATATGATCCACAATTCCCATCTACAACTCTTTTCCCTGGTCTACTTATCTCTAACATGTATTTCCATATTGTACATGCTATCATTTTCATGAGAAAAAAAATCATTACATAGTTGCCTGTGGGTTGGTAAAAGCCTTCTAATTCAGCCAGTACAAATCACAAGTCTTCGCTTAAAAGGCATATCAATATGTTCTCCTCCAACAATTGTATGTGATTAAATCTCATTACAGGAATAAGGTTGTTTTCTAACATACCTAAAAGAACCACTAAATTAATAACACCTTAAAATCTGGTATTTCACAATTTCTACAAAAAAACCCACAATTCATCATGAACTACATTTTACTTCAAATTTCATCCTGATTTATTGTATTCATCTTATTTAACAAGTATAGTTTTAAAAATTAATCAGCATTTTTTATTTAGTTCAGTATATAAACAAAGCACAAATTATTTAGATTAATATTAATACACTTATTAAAAAGGAATACTAACAGAAGTTGTGTTCTGTATTGAACAAAAGCAATAAATTTATTTGAAAAGCAGTATGATATAAATATTTTCATTCTAACCTACAGAATAGCTAACACATTATAAGAGGAAAATCAAATTAAGCTATTTTATTATAGTAATAAGGAATTTTATAGAGTAGATGACTGAAACAAGAAAACGATAATCTATTTTGCAATATGCCTTGTAATTTCATAACCCATTAATTTTATATCTGAACATATTGTTTGAATTAAGGTTGGGTTCTGGTCTTAGCTGATCCTTAAACATGTAATTAATAGTTCCTATATTAGTATTTATCAGACTTGTCTGCACATTGATATATCATACTAGTGTTCTTATGAAAACCACATGAGGTTGCAGGGAGAAAAATTTGACAAATATTTCTTCAAATCATATTTTTAAAAATAAATCTATAATTACACACTTAAAACAAAGAGATTTTACACTATAAAATACTTTAATGAAATCTAATAATTAGGTCTATTCATTTTGAAGTAAAACTAATATTGGGGGACCTGAAAGAACCTTTGAACGGCATATATTTCCAAGGACCAACACATTAATAAAACTGTTTCCCTAATCTCTCTCTCTCTCTCCAGACAGATAGATAGATAGATATCCACCTATCTCCCTGGGTGAGTTCAGAAACAATTTCTGAAGGTTCAAAAAAGCTAAAACCTCATTTTATACCAAAATCATATACAAAGACAAAGAAGAAAACCCAGCTAAGTTTACCAATATAATAACAGGCAAATTATATAACAAGGTTTGTCCTTAGTTTCAGAGCGCAAGATAAATTTACCTTGAAGAGCAGCTGCATTTCGAGAGATTAGAAACTTTAACATCGAGCTAGAGGCTTGAAGCGCCTGCTGCATGTCTTGGCGAGCTGCGATTTGATATCTCTCCTCCATCTTCCTGGTGCAACAAGTAGGTTTTCTGGACGTGCACACCTGAAGGTCAGGTCCTAGAATACACATAACAGTCTTCAGAATGACTACCTGTTTATTTAACAGACTTTGCATATTGCATGTCAGGCATTAATGATCAGCACTGCCTATGAAGGGTTTGTGTTCTCTGTGAGGAACTGATTTACTAGATAAATTTAAAAATTTATCTATTGTCCATTAACCCAACCAAGACACAATATATTCTCAACCATTTACTCTTTGCTCTAATATTTTATTAACTTTTTGATCAAATATTAAGTATGCCCACTCAGTTAACTAATTACTATGAATTAGCAAATAGACTATATAATAGAAAACTAGTTAAATATTATGTAAGTACACAGTTAAATCAAGAAAATGTTATTTTTGCTTATTTTACTAATTCAGCCAAAATTATTCACTGTAAATGTGGCATAGAGAAGTAAATGAGCCAAAACAATTGTTTTTCCCAAGGAAATAAAATTAAATTTTGTACATCAAAGGTAAAAAGAAAAATTCACCTGATTTCTCATTTTTACCATTATGTTTGTATTTCTTGTGGAACAAGTGATTATCAGCAAACATGATATGATGGGCGATAAAGACCCCCAAGGAGCCAACAATGGCACCCAAAATTCTACTCATCACCAACCTTGTTAGAGACAATTCCTATGACTTTGAGTGGTGGGTACACAAGCAATGTATAGATGGTGTGTCATAGAATGGTACACTCAAAACCTATATAACATTATTAACCAATGTAACCCAATAAATATACATTTTTTAAAAACACTTCAGTTTTATAACCATATTCAGAAAATTGTGAAGACACATATTTAGTGTGGCTCAGTGGGTTAGGGACAATCCCATAAACCAAAAACGTTGCTGGTTCAATTGCGGTCAGGGTACATGCTTAGGTTGCCAGCCGGGCCCCCAGCTGGGGGCATGTGAGAAGAAACCAATCACTGTTTCTCTGCATATATCGATGTTTCTGTCCCTCTCTTTCTATCTCCTTTTCCCTCTTTCTAAAAATAAATAAATATAATATTTTTAAAAAATGCATATGACATGAAAAGTAAAGTTTTTATGTATATGTAATAGCTGTGGTTAAAAAAAAAATGTTGCTAATATGATTAGCACCTCTCCTCCTGGATAGGGACCTAGGACAAGCACCTTTATACATAGCAGGTGTACTAGAGAATGGAGGAAAAGGTATGGATCATGCAGTGGCATATGCAAAGGATAATCCTGATGGGGCATCATGGTGAGGGTCCCACGGCACCCTAAGCCCACCCAGGCTTTATGTAAAGCTCAGGACAATTGTATTTACACGGTCTAATATAATCGTTATCCCCTTATGTCAGGGTTGGAAGAAGAGTTGCAGCCCTTGATCTCTAGGGAGTTTCACTGTTCCCACATCAGCTCTTCATTGACTAGTTTTATATCAGCAAATATAAAATATGCATGTGTACACACAGAACACACATAAATACATATACATAATAGCCATCTTCTAAACTCTCCCTACTTCACACAGAGTTGGCCTCAGTACTTGCATTTCCAAAAGTTTTTTCTGAGTAAGGTCAAGGCATTTGAAATCACTCTGAGTTTCCTGCCAACATGGAACATCAAATTTTTTTTTAACGATTTCGACTTTAAGTTAGATAAATAACAACCAACAGCGTCTGAGCATTTCACAAAGGCTGAGACTCATAAAATATTTATGTGTGTCACAGTAGGTAACATTTTGGCAATTGTTTTTCATTTATCTTGCCTAAGGTTATACAAAAGCAAATTCCGCTTCAAACAGTAAAGTTGATTGAAAGGAAACAAAGTTATCTCTTCAACTTTACTCCTAAATGGAAAGATTGAGGAATTAGAGTTAAGAGAAGAATAACTATAGAAATTGGGTGAAAGAACCAATGAATAAATATTAAAGTATATAAACATATTTAGGATGGGAAAAGGTGCTAGGGAATAAAAATCAGGATGGTGATGATGATGATAGATCACTGCCACTATCTCTCCAGAATTCAAATACTTAACATCTTGTTAGACCACATCCCTGATCGTGACCTATAATGAGCCCCAAGTCGTGACCACTCCTTCCTTCTCTCCCGCTCGGCCCCATGGGAAGCGACATGGGCCACTACACTCTTCCCATCACACACCAGCCTTTTTTCGGTTCCTCGTATTCACCAAGTTCCGTCTCGCCACACAGCCATTCTCCACACTGTTCCATCTGCCTGGGACACTCTTATCCTACATGTGCTCACACACATGTGTGACAAACACCCTTCTTCCCCTCATTCACTCTCATCTATTTTCCTTTATATTGACACTCAGTCTTCCCAGGAGAACTTCTCCTAACCCCCCAGACAGCGCATGTGCCCTTGGGCTGCCTCATCGCCCTGCCCTGCCTTCCTCAGGGCTGCCACATTATGCTCCTTCATGTGATTGCTAACCAATTAGTTCCATCACCTATGCTGTAAGCTCCAAGTGGAGAAATTTTTATTCATTATCATATCCCAGTTAACCTAATACATAACACTCAATTTTCTTTGATTAAAGCAATAGTTGAGGATCTACTATTATGTATATATATTATGTCACTTAACCCTCATGTAAACTCTGATTTAGGGACCATCACTACCACATTTTCCACATGAGGAAATAGAGACATAGAGAAGCTCTGGGAACCGCTGAGTATCACACGCCTACACACTGTGGAACGGGGGACCTGGTGTTTGAGGGGATCCCCAAATGCCCTTCTTCACCATCACTCTACTGAGAGGCAAGAAAGAGCCATAAATCTATAAAATGGTTGGTCTATGGACATATCTGGCCATTTTCAATTCTTGTTTTGAAAGAAGTCATCTGTTGGTAAGTTGCCAGAAAATAAATTTTAGGTTAGGAACCATCCAAGAAATTTTATTCATAAATAAAATAGGCTAAAATACAAACTTATAGAGTTGCCTTTTTTGCACAAACTGAAATGGTGGAAGTACACTTAGAAAGATGCTACAAATTACCCTGGCTGCTACCCTACACACAGTGTGGGAGAGACACCATCCTATCTCAGCAGCTCTGAGTAAGTGTGGATAGCAATTTAGATGACTCAGAACAAACACATGCTTCAAGTTGATGAGAATCTGCACCGATTAATCCAGATTTTCATTTAGAACCTTGGAAACTGGTAATGACAACATAAAGCTAAACTCCAAAACAAATCAGGCCTATAATTCAAAGATTAGTTATGTTTAATAGGCACGACATTTCCAATAGTACCAACTATGAGGTATGCTTATGAAACTTAGTCTGGTTTGCAGTAGAGGGGAAAGTCCACAAGAAACTAGTTCCCTGCTTCTGGAATCTGTCTGAAAGACAGACAAGGTGAACTAAACATCCTCAGGGAAAGGACCGTGTCTTACACTTGGTTCACAGTATAACCACAAAGGATCTAAAAAGACGCTTGCTAACCAAAAGCCCAGGCTACATTTCGCCTGTTGCAAACAGAACAAGCATCCTAAGAAAGCAAAGCCAGATGGAATCCAAACAGATACTACACAATAACAAGACATTTTAAAAATGTTTCAGAGCCTGACTTCGAAGAACACGACACAACCGAGGATGCTATGAAACAGCAAGAGTACACAACCAAGGCTCAGAGGCAATGGCCATGTTTCTGAACAGTAAAATCAAACTCCACAAGAGTTAAAGCACTGAAAATAAATGAAATTAAAAATAAAACAGCAGGTTTCTGGCTGAAGGGGAACTCAGGCAGAATTGTGGGAGCTTTTCTCAATTTCTCACCAAGAAACAGCAACGCTGGTAAATCAATATGTCCTCCTTTCTGTTATCCAGCATAAGAAACTGGTATGGCCATCTACCTGTTTGTGCCGTTTTTAAATATGTTAAAACAAGGACATTGGCAGGGGGCATTTTGGAAAGATGGTAGCAGTAGCATAGTTTCCCTATCTCAGTCTCCATGTGAACCACATAGAATTATAAAATAAATCCAAGAAAGACAACAAACCTAGATGCCATAATACCTCAACAGCCTTCAAAGTATAAACAGGGTGGGGAAAAAAACACAGGTCTTCACAGTATCAGACTCTGCGCAGAAGGGAGAAAATAACGGAGTTGGGTAAAGTCTGAAGAACCCAAGGCCAGAAGAGCCCCAAAACAGACAACAGGAATTGGCAGGAAAGCACAGAGCGCTAACTTGAGAATAGCAGATGAAACCTGGAGGTTTTGCCTTCTTGATGAGTGAATGTATGCAAAGGACCTTTGATGGGAGGGAGGGAGGATGGGACGGAAGGAGGGAGGGAAGGAAGGAAGGAAGGAAGGAAGGAAGGAAGGAAGGAAGGAAGGAAGGAAGGAAGGAAGGAAGGAAGGAAGGAAGGAAGGAGCAGGAGCAATCCAGAACCCTGGAAATTTTCCAAACAGATTCAGCAGGCTCCTTTCCGGGGGAGAACTACACATAGAAAAGAAACTTCTGGAAGCGGAATCAAAATTCAACAGATGATGCATCTAAGGGACACAGAGAGAAAAGGTCCAGAAAAACATGGGAAGGGAAATAAATTCAGGAAATTTAAGAAAACAAACAGCCATACTTTGAAATATTACACAAAAACAATGGAAGAGAAAGCTCTATGAAGTTAGAAAAGCTAATCTGAAGCCTGTATCAATCTAAATTTTCAGAAAAAATAAGCTAACCTCACATAAAATAAACAACAAAATAAGAGGTCTAATCTCACACCAGTGGATTATGATAAAAAGAGAATGAGGAACAAAATATCCCTACAAAGAAGACATGCCAGAAAGATATGCCCACCCAAAAAAGATCAAAGATATAATCATACTATTTCAAAACAAGCTAAAAGATAATGACACAAAACATGAAAGAACAACATAAATCGAAGTTAGAAAATCTCAGATATGGAACTCAAAAAATAATTAAAGATGAAAGAAAAAAAATTTGAAATGAAGACTAAATGAGAAGAAACACAGGAGATGATCATACAAAGGTTATGCA